TAAAAATAGTTTTAAAAGATCTGAAAAAATAAAACAAATGATGTGTATTTTGTATGATATGTATTTTATTTGAATGTACTATTTCAGGTTAAAAAAATCACCCGGGATGTGTTATAACAAGGTTTAAGAAATCGTGAGATAAATGACAGGATTTCTCCTGTAATTGTTAGCAGAGTGCCAAAAGAGTGTTTTAAGAGAAGAGAAGTGCCCTAGCACGTGACCCTGCTGATGTCATCAGCACATGACCTCACAGCTCATTCCACTCACCTCTTCGCCCTCTGCACAGACGCCACGTTTATCTCCCAGCGTAGGCGACTTGATTCAAACATCATCAGCTGACCTGTCTCTGTTCCGGCCACCACCTTCTCTGTGGATATCCAGGTGTGGCACAGGAAGTTGTGGGCGTCTGTTTTAAATGTGCTGGACTGTTTCAGGGATTCTCCAGCATAGCGGAAGATCTTGAACACCCCGTTGCCGCTCACACAGATCTGTGTGTTGTCCTGAGGGTTGAAGCTGACCTGTGAATGGGAATGGATAGATTGTGTTAGGAAAGCTTGAACATTGCAGTAATTCTGACCTGTCATCAAAATAACAGTTTACTTAAATAAATAATTCTGTATTACGGTAATGAGGATATGAAAAACAGGATGAATTTTTTTGTGCATATGGCATAAGGGTGTGCTTTAAACATTATAATAATTTGTTATTTTTTGATGTACGAAGTACGAACTATCATATTTCATGTGGAAATGCCAGAAGTTTATTCCAGGGACTACAGACCAATATTTTATTATAGTAAGCATTAATCTTTATACAATATAGCAATTGTCGCGGTGGCTGTAATGAAGTGCACGAGGAAAGAGATAGAGAACAAAAATAGTATTTAATAAAATAACGCATCTGATCAAAATCTTGATTTTTATATATATATATATATATAATATTTTTTTATTAGTTTTTATTAATTTTAAATGAACTTTTATGTTTATATTTCCATTTCTCATTTAGTTTATTTAAGTAATTTTGTAAAACTTGTTCATCTAATATTTATATGAATTATAATATCTATATGATTTCTGCTTTAAAAAGAGGGTTTTAATATTTTTAGTTAATGCCGATACCCCTGATTCTAATATACCATGTGATAAGATTTAGAAATCATAATTCATTTTAATATAATTAATAATATCTTGATGACCAATGTCTAGGTGACTCAAAACCATCAAGAACACATGTGGGTCATATATTTCTCCCCAAAAATCGAAAGAAATAAGAAATCATATTTCGCTTAAAGAACATGACCAATATTTTTAGGACCATATTATCTCTTTTTATTTTCATTCTTTTCATGAAAATTAACCATAATTCTCATGTAATGCAAAATATTAAATACTTTAAATAGCAATGATAAGTAATGGTAACTATTCTACTACCTTTAAAAAAAATAGTTTAGTAGGTATAGTATTAATAAAATTTAATTTTAATGATATTACATACAAAATATATATTTGTATTACATTATCACAAATTACAAAATTATTAATTACACAAGCAAACACCCTTTGAAGTAAAATGCCCAGCATTACGGTAATGAGAATTTTGGTTGCTTAGGGTTATGTTCGGTCATTAAAATAATGGCACAGTGCCAAAAATATTAATATTATCAGTCCTAAAAATAGACTTCATCTTCTTTATGGAAAATATAATGTCTTGTGCTTCTCATTTGATTTGGGGGTGAAATATGATCGTTTGAAGGCAGCTGTGTTTACCTGGTTTATGGGGCCGCTGGTGCTCGTCTTCACAGTGGCCATCAGCTTCTTCTTTTCCCACATCCAGAGGAAGAGAGTCCAGTCTGGTCCTCCTGCCTGACCGATCAGATACTTGGAGTCAGGAGAAAAGGCCATGCAGACAAACTCATCCGCTGGGATCTCTCCTCCAGTCAACACCTTCCTCTTCCTGTTCTGCTCGTGCTGTAGATCAAACACAGTGATGGTGGCTTTCTCTCCACATTCGGACACAGCCAGATAACGCCTGTTTGTGCTGATGGCCAAAGCCTTCATGCCCTGACTTCTCTCGGTACCTGTGCCGACACAGACAAGACAGTAGAACACAGGAAACACATGTTGGTCACCAACATACAGTCTGATGATCATTCTCACAAAACATGTCCAGGGTCAAATTTAATCATAAAGTCAAAATAAAGAAACAAGAAAATATATTTTGCATACAATTTTAGAAGCAGTTCAACCAAAAATGAAAAATATGTTATCATTTACTCACCCTCAAGTTGTTCCAAACCTGTATGAATTTCTTTCTTCTGCTGAACACAAAAGAAGATATTTTGTAGTAAGCCGGAAACCAAACAGTTGATGGTATTCCATAGTATTTTTTTCTCTCTCCATACTATGGAAGTCAATGGGGCCCATCAACTATTTGGTTAGTATTCTTCAAAATATCTTATTTTGTGTTCAACAGAAGAAAGAAATTTATACAGGTTTGGAACAACTTGAGGGAACAACCAGTTTAAATTTGGGAGAACTATCCCTTTAAATTTGTTTGTTTGCCTTGGTATGTTATTTGCATGACAGTTAAACAGATGGAGAAGAAAAAAACCTATCCTGTAACACAATTTTTTTTTTTTTTAAATCATTATACATTTAAGTAGTAGATTACATTAACCCTACTGTATAGGATACATTTATTACAATAATATTTAACATATTTAAACATTTTATTTTATTTATATCTTATTTCTTTAATTTGATTTTGGGAGAAATATGACCCATTTGTGTGTATGAGTCAGATATTCACAAGAAATACAGTTAATAACCAGTAATATTTATATTAAGACTAGTGAGACAAGTGATAATGATATAGCAGCTAATTGTATCATAATGATATATGAGCCTAGCTTTATAATATAGGCTGCACTAGGCCTATATATTAGCCTACATATAAGATATAGCCTATTAAAATACGTATGAAGTATGTAAAGATGAATGTTTACTATAATAAAGTACCTGGAATAAACTTCTGGCATTTTTGGTTGATATTATAGCGCACACAGTTGTTTCCGCACGGAAATATGATGGTTTGCTCATCAAAATACAACAAATTATTCCTCACTCCTGTCCGCAATCCGAATACATAATGAGACTGTGCCACTACTGTAGCCATCTGACAAAATTATTAGCAAACAGTTTGTAGAAAAGTAAGATTTAAGCGCGTTGTCTGGTTTGTTTGCTGTGCATCTGTATAACGCTGCCGTGTTGATTAGTTACTAAGGTAACAACAAGCTAACGGAGAGAGAGAGAGGTCAGTCACGCCCGTTACACCGCCCACAAGCTAACTAAAACTTTGACGGACTAAATAAATAAATAATGGTAGAGTAAAATGTGCAAAAAATGCTGAACTTCTAACAGAAGTTAGACATTAACGTTATTTAAAAGGGAAAGTTTCACGCGTCCTAAATTGGGGGTAGGGGTGTCTGACAACGTTGGCGTGGTTTGTAGTGAGAATCTGTAATGAGATTTTTTTTAAACGAATATTTATAACCAATTTACTATTTCTGAAGTAGGAATGGTTTTGTCATGTTTTAAGATGATCAAAACGCAGCTGCATTTCTCCATTAAGACCACGTGATGGCGCCCATACAAAGCACGATTAAGTCATGACTCATGACGTGACAAAAAAAGGTATCCAAATAATTTATTAATAATTTAAGTGGCCTGACTTTGGCATGGAAGCTTTAAAATATGGACACAGTTACAGTTAATTTAAAGTGTTTAGAGATAACAGAAAGAAAAATGTTTTACAGTATTGTTACATTTGAAATGTTCCTCGTATTGTTTTTTGTTAGCCTATTGGTTCAACTCATCTTTTATTTATAAAGCACTTTCCAAACCATTAGAATGGGTCACCAGCGTGTTGTCTATAAATAGTAAATAACTCTAAAATACATAGAAACATAAAATAACATCAAGAAATGACACCAAGAATTGAAATCATACAAATCACTCACAGTTCTCAGTTGAGTTAATTTTCATCAATATTTTCATCAGATTTCATAACGATGTTGTTGATGAATGTTGTTGAACTTTTTTTGTTAGAAGTGTTAATAAACCATGTGTTTTTATAATTTCTAATTAAGACACAGGATGATTTTTTGATAAAACATCAATGGCCCACGAAAGAGTGCATGATCCCAAAATGTTTATTGTAAATATTAAAGCAAGGCAAGTTTATATGGCACATTTCATACTATGGCAATTCAAGTGCTTTACAGAAAGGAATTAAAATAATCACAAAATAAAAGCAAGGAAAATTAAAACAGTTAAAAAAATAATTAAAAGAGATGTGTGATACAGTTATAAAATGAATTAAACGATTAAAAAGATAAACTTATCATCTGGCAAAATACCGGTTTATCATATTTTTCACAACTCCCAGTTTTACTCTGAGATTTTCCCATGGTGATTACACTGTGTCTGTGGTGTTCTTTTAATAACACATTATATGAACTGAATTCAATGAAAATATTAAAGCGGGACCTTAAAGTTTACAAAAGTAATAAAGAAAAGTATAAATTACACGTTTAACAGCAAGTGGCTCATTTTACTTGAATTCGCCCTATTGAAAGTATCGAGCAGCGCTCATAAGCGACTTTCAAGGTGGATTTATTTTATCATGACTTAAAATGCTTACACAGCACACGCATTTTATACATGTATTATGATGCCATGCTTTAAATTATATATATGATGTATATATTTTTGCACATGGGTTTTGCAGTAGACGTCCCCTGACCTATTTTTACCTGAACACTGAGGGGGCTCCTGACATTTAAATAACTCTTGGGCTTAAACGTTTGTTATTTTGTTACATATATTAATATAAACTTATAAATTATGCACGTATGCCGTAAACTTACCATAAATACGAAAAAAGCAAGTCCCCCAGCAGCGGAACCATTCTTTGTCGGTTTCTGTTTCCGTCAGGATTATAATATTCCGCACACCCACAAGAAGCAGTTCTCTCTACACGTGAAGCTTTTGGATGCTGTGAAGTCCTCTGTTGCTTTATTTATTTGTCTAATTTCAGTTCTATATTATTTGATTATGGTAGAAATAGATGAGGATCCCCAGTTGGGGCTTGATTCTGACGAAGACGACGAGGAATTATCAGACGACGGGGTGAGAATATAGTGCATTTCACGTGTGAAATGTTTAGGCAGTTTTACATTAGAACACAATTTCATGCTACGAATTAACAACACAACCAGTGGTCAAGAAATAAAGTATACATGTGCGTAATTACATTTGTGTCATCTAATTCTCTTTGATCAGCTGCAAGAAGCTTTCGCCAAGGGTTTGCTTAAACCTGGAATGAATGTTCCTCTGGATGAGCCAAAGAAAGCCGTCAACAATGTGGTGAGTTGACCAGAGCTGCCTTTACACATTAACATACATTACACATGACCAACACTTAATAACTCACATAATTTGTATGATGATACCATGTAAAATCTGACATGAAATAATAGGTACAAACATTTTAAATGGAACTGTTTACCGAATCTTTAGACTGTAGACCGAATATAAACAAGTAAAAAAAAGAAAAGAAAAAAAAAGCTTGCATATGTTTTAGGTTTTGTATCATATTTGATAAATCAGACTTTTATGGCTCATACAGTATGATATCATGATCAAGGCTCTTGATCATACGTGTGCTGTATAGGCTGTCATATAGGCTACATAAAATTATAATGAGAACATTATAATTGTGTGCTTGGGACATGGCTTTTAATTGTGAGACTTTTGAATCAAGCGCTCAAAAATTATATAAAAAGTTTGATTTAGATTTATCAGCCAATATATAGGTTATAGGCTTTGAAATATAAATAATTATCGGTATTGGGCAAAATTTTTATATCGGTGCATCCCTACCGAAGTTACATTAGTCCATTAAATCTTAATATTGCTAACAAAACAAGTTTTTCTTGTTTACTTTATAACAATCTTTAAATATTTCACAGCAAAAAGATACGTTTACTATTACCTGAGGGTGGACATTTTTAGATTGATACTAATAGGCCTTTTACTTGCTAAAAATGTTCATCTATCAAATATGACATTATCGTACAGATACAGGCTTTATAGGCTTAGTATATGAATTGTGATTTGTTGAAAAATCTAATCCATAATCAATGGTTTTCATTCAGGAGGGTTTGAAGAAATGCCTTGCTGAGTTTAAGAAGAGCCTGCCCTGGGCTGAAAGGCTTGACCTCACCAACCTCCCAGCTGTTGACCTCATAGCAAAAGCAGAGGGCAAAGCACAACAATCAGAAGGCGGGGAAGACATCAATGCAGAGGATGACTTTCAGAGGGAGATGTATTTGTAAGTGTAACTTGGGTCATGTAGAACAGTGGTTCCCAACCTTTTTTTGTTATGAGACCCCCTTTTTCCCAAGAAAATATTTTAGGGCCCCCCTTCACATTTAATGATATTATCGCTCTTGTAAGCTTGCAGTTGCAGCAAGGAGGACAACATTTTTTTTTTCAAACAAACGGTATGTTTATGCACAAATAATATCCTATAATATTGAAAATACAATAACAAAAACATCAGTAGGCCCTTTGTAATTTAAAAACGTAAGCCTAGGAGAAGCCTATAAATTGGCCCTATTTAAAATGCAAAAACAAAAATATTCACACTGGTGTGTAGGTAAAAAAAGAAAGAATATAGGCTATTACTAAATGACTGTTGTCTGGGGCCTCAATACTTGCATGTTATTTGTGAGGCTTTATCAATGTGAGGCTTTATTTTTTACGCTTTTGGCGCTATAGCGAGCGATGATAAACTTGCGTTTATTAACAGAATAATGCGTCTTTCGGAAGAACATTGTAGCCGGAACTACTTCTCTCTGTGTACGTCTATGACGAGTCACGCAGGTACTGGGCTACTCCGCAGCGGCAGCGATCCGAACCAGTGTAAAATAGTCCCAATGTAAACACTTATTATAGGTGTACCATAGTGGTTCAGTATAAGACAAAAACACGGATTGGAAAATGGATTCATGATGAACTCGCTCATTATATACATTTTGTAAATTTTAAACAGAAATAAGTCAAGGGCTTTTATTTAATGCTCATTGCTCAAACCTTTCAAAATATGATGCGACCCCCCACAGAGCTCGCTGAGGCCCCCTTGTGGGCCGCGACCCCCCTGTTGGGAACCGATGATCTATAGGACGTTTCCTGTCAGCAGCGCCTGCATACTGGACTAATCTTTCGAGTCTTATTGCGCTGATACTGTCAAATACACACAAGGTTTACATAAACAAAGTTGGTTATGTCTAAAGTGAAAGCAAACAGAGAAAATCTGCTTGTCAAATGCGATATTAGACGCGTCGCGTGCATTTCTTAAAGAGACAGTAATAATATGCTGCCGCTTGTCCTTAAAGAGATACTGCACCCAGAAATAAAAATTCTGTCATTATTTACTCACTCTAATGATGTTCCAAAGCTGTATTCATTTCTTTCTTGTGCTTAAATATACTATGGAAGTCACTGGACAGGGTTCCCGCGGATCCTTAAAGTCTTAAAAAGTCTTAAATTAGATTTTTAAAATTTAAGACCATAAAAAGTCTTATAAAGTCTTATTTTTACTTATGAAAGGTCTTAAATTTTAGATGACACTTTGACTTAGACATATCTAAAAGCTTTCCAAATTAAAACTATCTAATTAGCGTACGTATTTTTTTATTTATTTATTATTCTATCTTTGTGGATTTACTAGTTCACGTGACATTTCGCGTCACTCACGAGTCGCGGCAGCATAACTGTCTCCTGCACGCGAGAGGAGAGAAAGAGAAGAAAGGTCGTAAATGTCAGTTCAGTTGTAAGTTCATTCTTTATGTGCGTATGGTGTGCGATGTGTATTGTCTATTATGGTATTGTAATCATTGTTTTAACAATGTACGAGGCACTGCGAGCTGACATCGCATTTCTCTCGTGCTTTCACTGCGTGATGTGTGCAGTGTAACTGTTATGTCCCCAAGTTAGTTTTTGTCTTATATTTATATCATATTATGTTCTTATATTAGAATATCACATCAGAAAGAGTGCCGTTTTCCCGTGCACGATTCCAAGTGTGATATTTATGTTATACAACTGTTAAATTAACAATAAGTTAACATTGAAACTACTTTTTAGACACAATATTGTTAATATTGTTTGTTTTTGTTTGTTTTCCCTTTATTTCGCCGACTATAATTTCAAAATGAAACCGTAGCAGAGTCTCAATGCAACCGACAGCGATGATTTCTTGACTGAAATCCGCGTTTTGAACGAATCACTTGCTTCTTTCCCGAATGAATCAGCCGTTTGAACGAATCGGTTGAACGAATGACTCCCTCAACTCACTTATTAAGACAGTGATTTGCCGCTGCGGTTTCATATTTAAAGTACCCTTTAAATAAAATGTTAAAATTAGAAATCATTTCATATTTAAATATTGAATATTGATTTAAAAATAGGCTATATATCTCATAGCTTTATTTATGCAGTTGTAAATGGAGTGTAAATATATTAATGCCACTTCTGATGCCGCTTCTGTCACCTCTGCAGTCTGCACTGCAAAGATGGATTTTGATTGAATGATTTAATTTGACTGGTAACAGTGGTACTGTATGATTATTATATAATTAAGTATTATTGTATAATTACTGTATAATTTAATTTGAATGATAGTATTTGACATTAAAGGTGATGCATAACTCTAAATAAGTTTAGAAAAAATGTCCATATATAGGTGAAAATGCCCCTGAAAAAATCAATTTAAGGTGGCAAATATTGCCCCTTAATCAAAATATTAATTTCTGTCACTGCTGTGAACTGACCATTGCATAGAATATGAAAAATATTAATATCTTCGTGAGTCAGCTGTCAACAACAGACCTAAACCAGCCATGGCACCAGCACAAAAACACAATCAGTAAAATATCATCTAATTATTATCAACAAAACGTTGAAAATATCAAGATATATTTTTGTCAATACTGCACAGCCCTAATGTACGGTATTAATTTTGATTTCTTCAGGTCTTAAAAAGCCTTAAATTTGACTTTCAAAAGTGTGCAGGAACCCTGCTGGAGTACAGCAACAGTTTGGTTAGCCACATTCTTCCAAATAAATGAGTCTTTGGAACGACATGATTTTTTGGGTGAACTATCCCTATAACTGTTAACTGTTGCGTTACAGCTACAGACAGGCCCAAGCAACTGTTTTATTGGCGCTGCCAAAGCTGCATAAGTTTAAGATTCCTACCAAGCGACCAGATGATTACTTTGCAGAGATGGCCAAGAGCGATCAGCACATGCAGAAGGTAAGAGCATGAGCACAACTGTTGACTTGGCACCTCTGCTTTATAGAAATGTTTTGTCCACTGCACAATGAGAGTAGGAGAGCCCCTAGTCTCTCAATCCCGTAGGCAAGCTTTCAAAAACAAATGATACACGAATATATGCTACCATTCGTGGGTCAGTAAGAATTCTTTTGTTGTTGTTGAAAGAAATGAATCCATTTATTCAACAAGAATGCATTAAAAATTGATCAAAAGACGTAGACATAATGTTGCTAAATATATCTATTTCAAATCAATGCAGCAAAGAATCCTGAAAGAAACGTATCAGTAGCCATATTTCCATCCACCTTTTTTATGCTCATTTTGGTATAGTGCATAAAAAATTGCTGGATGGAAACGCCAAGATGCGCATACATTTTAAAAATGCGCTTAAAAAAATGTATATTCCAGAAGTTTCCCCTGCATCCGAACGCAAGATAACATGACAGCGTTTATTGCGTTTCGTCTGCGTGCTCTGAGACGCAAGTAATTTATGATAAAAGAGCCACAGTGATTTCAGCAACTTCCATTTTTATTACAAATGTTTTGTGACAGTTTTGTTCTCTTGAACACATGGGATGGAAACGGCACTTTATTTGGAAATTTTGCGCATAAGTAAAATGAGCAAATTTGCATGAAAGCATAGCTACTGTTTCCACAAAAATATTAAGCAACGGTTTTCAACATTGATGACAAGAAACAAGCATCAAACCATCATATCAGAATGATTTCTGAAGGATCATGTGACACTGAAGACTGAAGTAATGATGCTGACAATTCAGATTTACCATCACAGGAGTAAATTACATTTTAAAATGGATTAAAATAGAAAAGTTATTGTAAATTGTATTATTATTTCTGTTTTTACTGTATTTTTGATCAAATAAATGCAGCCTAGATGAGACTTTTAAAGCATTAATCATTTAAAAACATTTTTAAAATCTTAGACCCCCAACATTGAGTAGATGATAATTTCGACAAGGGACGCAAATCTTCATCCAAGACGGATACATTTAAAATTGACTGTCAATGTCAATTCATAATCTACATTTTCCAGGTTCTTATTTGTTTGTTTGCAACAGGTTAGGAAAACGCTGCTTATTAAGCAAGCAGCAATGGAGAAGTCAGAAAAGGCCAAGAAGCTCCGAGAACAGAGGAAATATGGCAAAAAGGTCAGTTTTTCTCTCTAAATGATGTTTTTAGGGTTTGTTATTGGGTGCTGGACAGACATTTGCTTTAAATCTCTGGCTCTACAGGTTCAAACACAGGTGATTCAGAACAGGCAGAAACAGAAGAAAGCTATGCTGACAGCTGTGAAGAAATATCAGAAAGGTACATTTTCATCAGAGCAACATGTTTTCACTTTAGCACATATCATTACCAAGGTTATCTGAGCAAAGTTTTATATTCCTTACACTAGTGGAGAAAAATGTCACTCATTGTTTATGTCTTACAGGAATGACAGATAAACTGGAATTCCTGGAAGGAGATCAAGATCCGAAACCGAAAGGGCCAGCAGCAAAAAAGCAAATAAACAAAAAAAGGTAAGCAATGACTCTTTATTTGCTGTTTTTTAGTAGGATTATAATTCAGCTGTTCAAACTCTATATTGAGGTTGTTTTTCAACCGGTTACAAATAACTGATTTAAAGACCTGAGAGGCATAACCGTAAAACTTCAAATAATAGCCCGGGCTTTTATTTTCCCAAATCGTTGAACTGCACCGGCTTGTATTTGAGACAGGCGTCTATATGAGACAGGCCTTTATAATTTAGCAGGGCTTGACATTAACTTTTTGAGGCACTTGTCCTTCGGACAAGTAAATTTAGGTTTCTCTTGTCCATGCACAAAAGTCACTTGTCCGGGTAAAGATTTATAATTTTATCTAGGGCTGCACGATTTGGGGAAAATGTCATATTGCGATTATTGAGTTCAATATTGCGGTTGTGATATGCGATTGCGATATAATAAACAAATGGTTTCATGAGTCAACTTGTTTGGTTCTAAACCAAATGCACACACAGATTAGTGATAATTCTGAAATTAGCAATAACAACTAAATGATTGATAACACCTATAATGATCAATAAGCCATTGATGTCTGGATAAAAATTAACTGTCTAACAGGTAGGACATATACAGAAATTTAATAAAGTTATCAAACAGTCTGGGCTGCATAAATTATAAATTATATATAGACTACTACTTATTGAAGCTACACAAGTTCTTTAGTCAAGAGCAGTGAGTAATTTTCTCTGTTCCCTTTGTTCTTTCAGTAACTTTACTGACAGAACGCTTTATTGGTAGCTGGCCCTTTAAGAGCAGCCGCTGTGGACAGAGACGCGGATATCACACGCGCCTCATTCTCTCACGAGTCAACTCTTTATGTCCATCATAAGACTGTTCTTATGTTATGAAGATACTCGACAAATGACATTTTGGCTTAATTGTGTGTGTTGTTGATGTTCGTTCAAGCGCGAAAGAGAACTTCTGGCGCGCGGTCTGTGCATGCGCATTATACTGGCGCACGTCTTTCTGTGAGTCACATTCAGGACATTCACAGGCAGCGCGAAAAAATGTGTTCGTTTCAAATCGGTAAAATTAAATCTGTAAAATAGACGTAACGAGTGGCACATAACGTGAAGTAACATGGCATTTTATTTTGTTTGAAATTTAACTTGTCCGGTCGGACAACTAATTTTCTCTTCTACTTGTCCTACAAAAAATCCACTTGTCCCGGACAAGCGGACAAGCCTTAATGTCGAGCCCTGTTTAGTGTTGAGTGTAGGCCTAGAGTAGCCTGGTTCTACCAGACTCTCGTACATTTCATTTGTACAGAGAGTCTGGCCTCGCTCCATTGAGAAACGTTTACTTCCTTGTAGGCGGGTTCTCTGTTAAAGTTCAAAACTATTGGATCTGCCCAGAGTCACTCAGGATCTGCCATAGCCAATCGCTAACGTGTGGTCGTGACGTATGTCATGCGCCGAAACCGGCTGGAAACAACAAGTCCGAATTCCATATTCATAAATCTAAATGCTAAACCTCTCTTTCTTATATTTGTGAAAGAATTTTAAAAATACCTCTTTTCAATTAAGTTGTCTGAGAACAAAAAAAGCCTTAATAACATTATCTGTTTGTAATTATTTTCCTTTTTTCAGTGTCATTTAATTCTCTTAACTTGTTAATGTTTATTTTATATTATCCCCCTAAGGTTTTTTTTTTTGTTGTATTTTTTGTATTATGTTTTCTGTTATTACTTGTGTATTGTTTTAAGCAATAAAAAAACAAGTCCGAATGATCAGAGGATTATGTTTAGAATAAGATGTCTGTCAACGAGAGCTGCATGTTTTGTTCATCGAATTTAAGAGTTCAAGGAACAATTCTAAATTCTAAATGTATATTTGACACTATAAGGACAGTGATGTATTCAGTCAACCGTCGAAGCTGGGTGTAATCATTAACAATACGCCGCTGCGGTCGTTTCGGATCTGCCGCAAATGCTGTAACGTTACAGTGATCATCGTGCACGCCGAGCTGCCCAGCACGAACTCCTAACCTTTCTGCCTCCCTCACTTGGTCCTCCATTAGTGCAACAAGAAGAGACGACAACAACTATAGGCTTTGCATCCCTATCGTTCGCCTTAGCTAACTCATTCACCACTAGCGGAGTGAGCTGGAAAATTAAACTTTTCCCGAACCCCGTGGGGAGGAGGGCCACAACATCATGGCCACCAACAACACTTAGCAAACATTGATCTTGCTCCGGCTTTAACTTCTGTATATTCGGAAGTTTTGCAACAACGGACCGAATAGATTTTCTCACGTCTTTCTCCGCTGCCGTTACTGAACTCCAACTCAAACTGACGCGCTACATCAACGTCATTGTTCTCAGCCACTCCCTCTATTCGCTAATTGGTCCTACAAAAAATTGATTTCTGGAAACCTAAGAATACACAGCAGTCCCAGACGTAGTACTGAAGGAAAATGAAATTGAGCGGAAGTGCGTAGGAGGGCGGAGCCAGGCTAGGCCTAGAGACTCTAGTCTCTAAAAATCTCCAAATGCTCCGCGTGAAACTGCGGTCTTCCGACCTTTACTATCGCGTCAATTGATTTTGATTAATATGCGCGAGGGAGAGAGAGCAAGATAGCGCTTGTGTTGTTTGAAGACGTGAGTGCGCACGGCCGGGGTTCTCTCTCTCTCTCTCTCTCTCTCTCTCTCTCTCTCTCTCTCTCTCTCTCTCTCTCTCTCTCTCTCTCTCTCTCTCTCTCTCTCTCTCTCTCTCTCTCTCTCTCTCTCTCTCTCTCTCTCTCTCTCTCTCTCTCTCTCTCTCTCTCTCTCTCTCTCTCTCTCTCTCTCTCTCTCTCTCTCTCTCTCTCTCTCTCTCTCTCTCTCAACGCGCCCTGTCAAGCGCAGCAGTCATTCTATTCTACATCACTCACCGATCAAAAAAGGATTTGGCGGGACAAAAATTTGCTTTGCCGGCCGCCAAAAAGCGGACGATCTGACGGGTTTTAGAAGATTAAATAAAACCCGAAACTAAAAAAACAGAACCGGCCTTTATTTACCCAAACCTGCAGCCACACCAGGCGTGTAAAAGAGACAGGTGTCTATTTGGGACTCGGCTATTATTTGAAGTTTTACGGTACTTTGGGTCTTCATTTTATGGCAAAATATTTAGTTAAATGCACCGTTTTGTAACTGTGTGTGTGTAGGCTTGGGAATCGGTTCCAGGTTCCGGTTTGGAACCGGTTCCAAGCGTTCCGATCCATCGGAATCGTACACGTCCACACGTTAACGATTCCACTAACGATTCCGAATGTTCTGTTCCATCCATTCCCGCGTCGCGGCACGACGTTACAGTATGCGCCTGGATTTTTAAATCCCCCAAAAGCGCGATGTCTACGAGACGTATTTCAGCTCCAATGACGGCATCAAAACAATGAAAGCATGGCAAAGCGGCTCTCCACTGCTCTGCTTTCCTCGGCAAAAAAGTTAAGAAACTCGACGCTATAAGCCCTCAGTACCGTACCGAGCCGAGCAGTTCGCACGTGACTTTTATGCAGTGTTTCCCACACATAGACTATGTGTGGGAAACACTGCATAAAAGTTCAGCACAAAAGCACAGCATATTCTTTTCGTTGTATTTCCTTTCCCCGCTCTCCCTCCGTCTCTCTATCACTCACGCGTCTCTCTCACATACACGCACACACACACACACACACCGCGTCTGTCTATGAGGCGCCGGACTGGACAAAAGCGAAGCGAACTCCGCGAGCGACTCTGGGTGAGAGAGAGACAGAGTGTGACTTTTATTTAAACTTATATAAACTAATATAATTGATTTTACTGGACAGTTTAAAGCTCATAACCATATTTTGTTGTTACTTGAAGAGTGCAGTGTTATGTTGCATCATGCAGTATTTGTCCTGAAAAGGCTACTCGGTAAATGTCTTTAATTTAAGGTCATTCCTATTTTATTTGTATACATTTTAATCATTAACTTTAAGCACACTCTTTTATGTCTAAAATAACAGTAAAGGGTAAAAAAAAACGAATTCCCAAAAATTAAAACGGAAAAAACGGAATTTGGAAAAATAAATAAAACTGATTTCATAGGGCCCTAGATATTGCACACTCGGTTTTCATTTTCTAAAACCACTTTAAATTAGGGATGGGCATTTTTCTAAAATATTGCATTCGAATATTCGGGCTCATAAAAATCTAATATTCGTTTATTTAAATGACATTTAACGAAAAAGACGTTATTTTTTAAGTTTAATTTTTTTTACGTTTTTGTCACCATTTCTGAACACGCTTACAATTAGGCAATATACACAACAAGCTTACAATATATGTTAAAGTTTTCTTTTAGTTGAAAACATTAAACAGTAGGCCTATGTGTAAACAAAAAATATAAAAAACAAAAGCATTAATAAAAGCGTGCTCAAGCAGCGCGAACGGGAAAAAACGCCTATAAAAAGCATATTGCGCCAGATATCGTACAGAACGCACACACACACACACGAGTCAGCATATGATTATCGTGTTTATATTGTTTCACGTTTATATTGAGAAAAACGATATCCACATGCAGGGGCGCCGCCAGCAATTTATGCTCGAGGGAGAAAAGGCGCTTTGCTGACAGACGCTTCAGAGACACAAAGATAACGGTGTTTCTAACAGCACTTTGCGTTTTCTGATCTTAAACCTGTCTCCCTCAACGAAACTTAAAGGAAGTATATGTCTCAATCATTTTGCTATAAGATAAGTTATCATTTCGGATCACGCGGGGTCCAGCTGCGCTTACCTGCAGTCGTGAATGCAGTGATGGACAGCTGTCTTTCCTCATTCGACTGTTTGGATTTCATGTGATTTCTCATTGTGTTGATGATATTATAACTCAGATTAATTAATTAATTTGATCAAAAGTAATTCCATTTAGTAAGATCATTTTCAAGTAATTCCAAACTTCGCGAGGCAGACGACAACATTATGTGATCAAATACACACAACTTGTTAACACACTCCACAGCGCCACCCAGTGCATTTAATTATAACTGCGAGTTAGTGCTTGGGATTTATCATGGATTCACTGCATTTACGGCCAGCAAAGCAACGTAGTAAAATTCGAATAGTATTCTATTTTTCGAATAATAATTACAGATCGAATATTCGAAAATTCAAATATTCGTGCACATCCCTACTTTAAATTAGACATTCAAAGCCAACAACTCTCAAAGCCACTCTGTAAGTGTTCAGCAAATGGTACAGGAATCGATAAGTAATGACATCGATAAGCAGACTCGACAATGGCATCTATATCGATAATTTCTTAACGATGCCCATCCCTGTGTGTGTGTGTGTGTGTATATATATATATATATATATATATATTAGTAGGGGTGGAACGGTACACAGAAGTCACGGTTCGGTTCATACCTCGGTTCAGACATCACGGTTCGGTACGATTTCGGTACAATGGAGGGAAAAGCAAAACAAAAATGCAGAAGGCATTATTTTTTTTAAATAAGTTTTATTAATAAAGGCATATAACCAGTTTATTTGTAGTGCACTGACAATAGTTTAATTAAATAAATTAATAAAAAGACAAAAGGACCTTGCAATATGTTTGGTAATTGTACCGGAATTAATTTAAAATTAATTTGCTATATTTCAGATCAATATATTTGTTTTCCTTAATTTTAATTAACATTATTAATTAACCATGTAACATTATTCTCATCTGAATTATAAATAATTGATTTCTGTAAAATAATACTACCATTAAAAACACATTCGATTTTCTTTTTTAATCAATGTAGAATGTGTAAGATTAGTGCTCCGAGAACAAGAAATGAAAACCAATGCAATATGATGAATGTCCAAAAGATGGGACCCACAGACTGTTTTGAAATGAAGTTGGATAAATATGTTTTGCTTTTAAAACTGTGTATGTGTGTGTGATTTTGGTTGGGTGACAGTTGTAGGTTACAGTTTGACAAGAGTTTACAGTGTGACAAAAGCACAATGTTGTGTTTTAATTGCGAGTGTACACAAATATAAGTAAACACTTTGCAGGTTTAATGATCTGTATGAACAAAATGACGGAGTAGCCTATGTTTTTTGTCTCCACTGTTCGATCGCTCTCGTCTCTCTCACACACACAGTTCGATCGCGCCCGCGCCTCTATCTCTCTCTCTCGCGCACACACACACACTCCAGCATTGCAATCTTGACATCGCTGCCTGTTCATTATGCGGTCACACCAAACGCGAATAGAGCGTCAAATTCGCGTCTATCTATTCGACGCTAGTCCAAAGCGAATAGGACGTTTGAAGTGAACGCGCGCTCAGAGCTAAGCCGATGGTACAGATTATGTGTCCCTAAAGAACCCGCGTATCTAACAGTAGTTCCGCATTACATTAATTAATTTGCACGCGAGTTTTATTTATTTTTATACCGTGTATTCTCCGTGTAAATTCGTGCACCGAACCGTTTCGGTTCAATACGAATACATGTACCGTTCCACCCCTAATATATAGGGCTCCAGACTAACTTTGAAGCACTTGAAAGTGTTCCTTTAATGAATACTGTAAAAACGTTCGACTATTTCTGCCATAATACAATGGTTACAGTTAGCGTTACTACATTAAATCCATGGTGATTGTTGGTGATATGTGGACTAGAAAGCCTTCTATATCTTTTTCATTTATGGCACATTGTTTCTCCTGGTTTACACGTCAGCACTGTTTGATTTGATATGGTTTATAACGAAGTTCTGCACTGAATTTGAATGCTTCTCACTAGAACGGTCTGCGCATCTCAAATGGTGTTTGTTGTTTCTCATATGCAACAGAAATGGCAGCTCTTATCAGTTGGGTAATGTAGTGGTGGCAACCAGAGCGACCTCAAACTAAAGATAGTCAGTCTGGAGCCCTATTATTTATTTGTATTTTTCTTGATATTAAATGTTTGTCCTGCTGTCTTTAGTCCTAATGCTAAGAAGAAATACAAGGATCAGAGGTTTGGCTTTGGGGGCAAGAAGAAGGGCACCAAATGGAACACCAAAGACAGCCACGACGACGTTTCAGGATTCAAGGCCAAAATGGCTCACGGGAAAGGTGGGAAAAGAAGCGGCAAAGGAGGCAAGACGAATGTAAGTGGGGTTTTTTAGTTTTTTTTTTTAGTCTGAATCTGTTAATCCAGATACTTTTGAAAATGACGTTTTTTGGTCCACACCAGCATTTTTAAGCCTTTTTTCAAAAAGTTTCTCGTCCACACTGAAATGTCAGAAAATGCTCAAATTATCTTAGTGTAAAACATAAGTTCACAGAGAGACCGGGGCCTGTTGTATAATCTTAGCCACTATGTTACGACTGTCACTTAAGAACTAGTCCGACCCACTAGCAGTTAAACAAGTAAACATCTCAGTAATCAGTCTTTCTTTTCTTATTAAAATTAAACCAATCTACCTTTTTATGTAACGGACTTTAAAAAAGTTAAGACCAGTCTTGAAGACATAAATGAATGACGTTTTTCTCAGAATATCACAGTTCTGACTTTATAACTCGCAAATCTGAGAAAAAAGTCTGAATTGTGAGATAAAAATTACCTTTTTTTTTTTTTTTTTTTTGTGGCGGAAACTAGCTTCCATATAAAGCTCCTTTTTCGCAGGACAAAAACATGTCTCAGTGTGGATGAAAGACCATAACGTAAAGAAAAATAAGTTTTCAAATGTATCCAGATCAGTGTAGATGTAGCCAAATTACTATAGTTTTGTTGTAACATTTTTTAAAGATTCCACATGTTTTCATCTCTTTCTTTTTTTATATATATAGAAACGGCCAGGGAAGGAGTCAAGGAGAAAAATGAAGGCACGCAAATGAGCTGTATCTTCCCATCCGTAGCTCTCACTGAAATGGATTGCGCCATTAAAGACTTTTTTAATCTCCTCTATTTTTTATTACTTGGGTGAAGTCAGGGCTCTGTTCTTTTTTCCCCCGTCGAACACCTTTGTATATTTCAAAAGACTTCGTTACCTGAGAAGATTTTTTTAAATGTTTGTATTTAGCAGACTAATGTTAACACCAAAAATAAAACCTTTCAGAATGGTGACACTGGAATCCATTTATGATCACCATAACATAATAATTCTGAAAAGTATACCATAGATTTACATTATTTTGCCCTTGTAATGTTTTTTTTTTTTTAATGTAGAGACAAACAGTGACTGTAAAGTACTCTCTTTTCGCACCAGTATTTGTATTCGCAATGGGAATAAACATATTGCTTACATTCGGTACAAATTTGAATCTGGCACTCGCTGGATCTGAGCTTCACATTCAGCAATGCTCTGTGCCAGAGGAATACATTAATATTCATGAGATTGTAATTAGTTTATCTGCCCACTGGTCCTGGTTGTAGTATTCTGACAGTGTCGTTCCTGTGCCGTCTGGGTTCAGATAAGCAAATGAAGTGGGATGTTCCTCCCGGGAATCTTAATGTCTCTTTTCAAGAGAACAAACGGGATCTCTGAGATGCAGAGTAGAAAATACTGATTTAAGAGTCGAGAGCTGCTTTGGTTGAGTTTTACAAAATCAGAAAGACAGCGAATCTTCAGAATGGAACAGTTTATTCATTAAATATTTTAAGATTTAGGGAAAAACGTCCTAAACGTCATTACTGCATCATAAAGCCTAAACAACAGGCCAACAGATATAAAAAATATCAAGCATAACTGCTTTTAACATTCAACTCTTCAATCTAATCAATTGGAATTATAGGTGTCAAGTTCAAAAACTGTGCAACAACACAAGAAGACTGATACCATAATCGACTACTGTAAAAACAAATGTTAAACTGTTGCCTATACTGGAACAAAGACAGCAGTGGTTTCAGCTGTATCTTCTGAAAATCCCTCTTTTCAGGGTGTGTTCCTTGAGGAAAGACTTTCAACAGGTACAGCATCTGTTTCCTGGTTACCACCGACTTGGCTTTCTGTATTGAGCAAGCAGAACGGACATCTTTATGAAACAAAATTAGAAGAAAGTTTTGATCTTTTTATTTTTTTGGCCACTGGCACCAAAGAAATTCTTTTGTCATAAAAAACGACACCAGCTGAATGTATTACAACATGTAGGCTATCTATGTATTTTTAATCTGTAAAATATGTAGTGTGTATTTCTTTTTCTAGCTGAACAATTTTAATCTGATTAGACTATCATATTTGAGTAAAAAAAAAAAAAAAGATATTTTACACAAAAATGCATTACAAATCAATGCATCTACCAAGACACTTTGAAATACAGCAGAACGCTGAACAATCATTTCAGGTTATGCTAGGTTTCATGTACTGTCATCAAAATTATCCATAATATTTTAGCTGCCGAACAGTTAAAATCACTGATTATTAGTGATATTTAAGTTTGCTGTAATACATGCAGCCAACACCTGGTCATATATTGATATGGAAAAAATATTGGGTTCATTATTTTGTTTATTGGGTGTGGAATAATAGGTTAACGTGCTTTAATGCCATTCTGAACATTTTTGCAGCACCTCAATTTCCAGTCTGTCTGAAACGCTCTGATTATATTCAAGATTCTACAAAGCTCCTCCTTCTGAAAAGCTCAGAGCGCTCTGATTGGCCAGCTGACCTTGGGCATTGTGATTGGTCAAAGACCTCAGGTGTATGTTGGAAAAGTAACAGCCCTTATAATGGCAGGTTTCAGAGTTTATAGCTGTTTTCAGAAGGCCAAACAAAGGGGTTTGCTTTCGCATCCAAACACAGCGTCTCTGCGACATGATGATGACAATTCAATTCACTGAAGTCTTGTCTTCTCTCTTTGGGTATGCCTTTTTGGGTGAGCATTATGCTAATATTTCACATTGTGACGTAGACGTTTGAGGAAGTAATATATGAACTTCGATCGAGGCGTTTTAGGCAGGTCTGTGGGACACTGAGCTTTGTTACTGCAGATCTTATACATGCACAGATACATTACACACTAATAGGAAATGGTAAACATTTAAACGCATCATATGGCCTCTTTAAGTTGGAGTGTTTTTCCTTTCCCCTAGTATTATCAGAATAATCAACAATGTAATACATGTTTTAATCTTTAATACCTTTAATGGGAGGAACCTCAGATCTTCCTTGCTCTCCGTTCATGTGACACTGTGAATGGTGGTAACGTTCGTCTCTCAGCCCTGGATATGGGAGGTACGGACTATACTGAGGAACATGGAGCAAACACAAGGACAGGACATTCAGACTTAGCATAAATGCAACAGCAGGGTTTGGTGTGAAAATCTGGAATGGACCGAAACGTTAAAGGAATGTTCATAAACATGATCTTCCTCTTGATTTACACTCTTCCCAAATGTTCGATTTATTCAGCTGTAGCCTGACGCTGCAGGACTGCCTTCTGCAGATAATGGAAAATGAAGTTAGTAGAAAAAGGACATCAAATAAGTTAAACTAGCTTTGGGGTTTCAAGGTTGTTGTTGTTTTTTACCTCTCACATACTGTAAGGCGACTAGATAACGGGGAATAAGAAATAGACATAATTTCTCTCTTTTTTTTTTGTTGAAGCGAGAGCAGCCCAAAGTATTCTTGTGACAGTGAAGCCCTTTGATCAGAAGTTTGGGTGAAGAGATTAAAAAGTTATATGTAAGTGTAATAATATATATTTTTTAACAATTACACTATGATTCAAAAGTTAGGGTTGGTAATGTTTTTGAAAGAAGTCTCTTATGCTCACCAAAGCTGTATTTATTTGATCAAAAATACAGTAAAACAGTACTATTGTGAAATATTACAATTTAAAATATCAGTTTTCTATTTGGATATATTTTAAAGTGTAATTTATTGCTGTGATGTAAAGCTGAATTTTCATCAGTCTTCAGTGTCACATGATCCTTCAGAAATCATTATTATTATGATGTTCTGCTCAAGAAACATTTATTATTATTACCAATGTTGAAACCAGCTGTGCTCTTTAATATTTTTGCCATGATCCCATTTTTCCAAGATTCTTTGATGAATGGAAAGTTTAAAAGAACATTTATTTGAAACAGAAATCTTTTTGTAACATTATTACCGTAATGTTAACTGTCACTTTTGATCCATTTAATTCCTCCTTAAGGAATAAAAGTATTAATTTTTTTAAATCCTTACCCTAAAATAGTGTATCAAAAGACTTAAGTCACATAACAGATTTTGTGCTAACTCTCACATTGTGATTATGATGGACAAAGTTGCCTTTCTCCAAGTAACAAGATAGTTTGTAGGCATTTTCATGAGCGCCATTGCAGAACAATCATGCCTGTGGAACATACCTGCAATTCCCGACTCTCCGGTGGATAAGACAGCGCTCCTGGTGGATAGGGAACAAATCCAACATGTTCCCTGAAGGCTCCTGGTGCCGGTGGTCTCAGGCTCACCAGCACCGCCGGGAACATGTATCGGTCCGTGTACTGCGGGTGCATGGGAACAGGGATTGCGAACATCTCTGCTGGATACATTTGCCCAGGGTATGCCTCTGTAATTATGTACTCTCCAGGAAAAGGTGGTGAATCTGTGGATATATGCAGTAGTAGGCTAAACAACATTCGGTTATGCTTTCAAATAACTTTTAAAACATTTGCACACTTCATTCAATCCTTAGAAGATGTATTCATTACACTGTAAAAAATGTTTTGGCATGTAACTAATAATTTAGTTAATTATTACTAGTTAAAACTAATGGACTAATTAGTTAAAATAACTAATTTTAACTAATATTATGCAAATAAAAAGTTAAATGGGTGAGACTATACAGCCAATAGACCGGAAGTCCCGCCTTACAGTTAAAAGAGTCAGCCAATCATCTTTTCTTCATAGAGACACTGCCTGTTTGTTTAAAAATATAATTGTCTTTTCTGACCCTAAATGTGATCAAACTGAATATAAGACATTTATAATACATTTTACGGAACCCTGATTAGGTTACAAACCATCTTTTTTAAAAGTAAATAGTGCCTATTTATGTATTTATTTTCAACAATAGCTACTATAAAGTGCATTTGCAATGGATGAAAAGTTCATTAGATTTTGATTCATTTGATTTCTATTACATGAAATTGTACATGGAATGTAAACTATACTGATCCCTTTTTAATCATAGTATTAATGTTTCCTATAAGTGTTCAGGTCTATTATATAATGTTTTACTTATGTACATAACAGTTAGCAGCTACAGATTTAGAAACGCGCTGTACTAACAGTCGTTGGGTGTAGCCTAGTGGTTAAATAGAGTGGTGCAGGTGTGACATCACTTTGTAGGCCAAAACGCAGAAACGAGTAGCACTAAGCATTTTAGGTAGCTTGATGTAAAATGTCAATTGTACGCTTTTCTGAAAGTTTAATAAAAATAAAAATAAATAAAAATATATATATTTTAAAAAGTTAGCATTTTACCACTTCAGGCGAGCTGCCGGTTGGCCTGCAAAGTGACGTCATACCTGCACCAGGCTATTTAAACATAAAGGTTATAGTTGAAATAAAATAATTACTAATTAGAAATTAAGGTTTTATAGCTGCACAAACCTCCAAGAGCGCCGCTCGGTCCCGCGGGTGTCTTCAGATCACAATAAACCGCGCCCGAGTTAACGGGACCGCGGAGGTCAGTGTACGTTGTATCACTTGTGGCGTGTCGAGTAACGGGCGCATTGATAGCATTAATCTTTCTAGCGCTGACGTCGGTTTCGCCGTTCACTCCGTTAGTTGAAGTATTATTACCCGTTTTTCTCTCAGATAGAGCGGTCTGCTCGGGACGGTCGGTAGCCGGTGACTCGTGTCCCTGAACGGATTTGATCCGTCTTTGAGATGCTAGGATTTTCGTCCGCTCGTTGATGAGAGCACACTTCCAGCACACGCACTGCCTGAACTGACATTTTCCCGAATGGCCTTTTAACAGCACTACGAAGCCGTGGTTACGGCATCTCGCGCACTTCGGACTGCGCGCGGCTTTGCCTGCCGTTATTCGATCATTCGGTGCCGCTGCTGAAATATTTGCCATAGCCAAAGACCACGAATATCAGTATCACTGAAATATGAAATAAATGTGTCACATTTGAAATAAATTTCGTTTGCAAGGGGTGTGTCCTCCAAACTCTTGAATTTGGCTGAAACGATTCACGTGATGCTAAGTGGCTACACTTTCCCACGCTCGTCTAGACTCCGGGGAATTCCCCTAAAGCCAGGTGCGACTGTTCAGGTTAAACAATACTTTTGACTTGCAATTTTTACCACAAGAAGCACATTTATGACAAACTGGCAGAAATGAAAGCTTTTTATTTTATATTCGACAGAAAATAATTGAAATATGATTAATGTGGATTATACAATTGGGCTTGTGTAACTAGAAATATCTGACCGTAAGGTTCAAGCAGGGTATGTGATAAAAACAAAAATATGATAAAGACATCTTCAAAAGTTCAAAAACATCGCAGTTTTGTTTGCTTGTGTTGTGAGAAAACAACAGAATAAAGTTTTTGCAGATTCCATTGTCCATTGTAGGCCTACTGACTGACCTACAAATCTGCATGCAGACACGACAACCAACTTTGCACATTCATTTATAGATTTAACACCCAGCCCTGACCCTGGAGGATCATGTTCTGCAGAGTTCAGCTCCAACCAGTTCCAACACACTTTCCTAGACATTTCTAGATATTATGATTTCTATTCTATTCCGGTTGGTAACCAGATGGTTGACGCCACCAATTAACTTCCATGTAGGAAAAAAAAAATACTATGGATGTCAATGGGTGCCGTCAACTATTTGGTTATTTTTTTGGAAAGGCGGGCAATCGGGCAACCCAGTTAAATCCTGACATATTCATCTAATTACTCTGTTACACAGAGCTTTAAAAAGGTAACAGAATCCAGTCTTTTGGTTTCAGTTTGGTTTCACTGGGCTACTCTAGTTCACAAAATGCAGCATCTAATTGTTCCTCATTCATTTACAAAATATCAGATGAAAAGAAAACGTATAATTGATTTATTTGAATACATGTATATTCTGATAGGTGCAATTAGGTAAAAAAACATTTTTTTTCAAGTATCTGCTCAAACATTTTTTTTAAACTTGTTCCATTCATTTTCTTTCAGTGGCATTTTGTGTGTATCCCTAAAGTGGATTGGCTGCCAGTTTACATAATCTGGTTACATGCCAGGTTCATGACAATAGGGTCTTTGCCCCTGTACATTTACTTTGTTGTGGTTGGCTACATTCACAGTTAAGCAGTCGGGGGAGGGGGTTGAGTTCAGCCCCATCTTACTGCTATTAAAATGACTGATTATCCTGTCAGGGTCGCTCTGGCCTAGTTTTGACTGACAGAATTGTTCATGCTGGCACAGTGCCACAGATGCAGTCTATATTACTGTAACTCTTTTACAAGGTCACCTAACCCCATTATCCTAATAAGCGGGTTATAATTAATGCAATTTAAAAACTGATCATCTCATACTTTTTCTGCCTTGCTTCCTTTCTGTAAATTGCTTCAGGGTGATTCGCTTTTTGAGGATATGCATGTGAACATACTGGAGGGGTGGTGCTATGTTTCATGAGATTTTTAGGCTAAGGGGGCGGGGTGTTTACACGACACCGTTTTCGACTAAAGACTTTTTATGCGTTTTGGACGTTCTTTTACACGGCAAGCGTTTTGGAGGCCTGAAAACGCAAACTACAATAACACGAATTTGTGAAAACGGTGATGTCATGCGCATGCGTGTTACGTGTTCAGTCTATAGGGATCTCCCAGTCACGTGACCCCTAGCCGCCCGCGCGTCAGCCATTTTCACGGAATACATCCGTCAGCTACTCAGTGGCAATGGCCGTGGGTAATATATATTATTAGTATATTATTATAATATAATTAATAATAATATTATACGCGACGAGTTGTATTATCACCGGCGGTTTAGCATTTTCTATACCGTCAAGATGGCTGCTCCAAATGGCGTGACGTCACGCGGGACGACCCTATAGGCGCGTAGTGTATCTTTACAAAGTGACATCGCCAACTACTGGCCTGGCAGCAGAATACAGCGTTTAGTTGTTTCGGGATCTGTGTGAACGGGATCGTTTTGACATCATTGTTGTCAGTACACACAAACGTTCCTGTTTTTAGTACATCGTTGTCATGTAAACGTACCCTTATTTGTCCATGCACTCAATGTCTGTTTTCAATGTATCTATTTGGAAATTCACAGGAAAAACGATATAATATATAGATTAAATGAACTGTAGGCCTACTGTTAGTCACTTTAGCATCAGTCAAATTAATAAATACAATGAAATTTATTAGTCTTGCCAAAAATCTCTAGACCAACCATTCATTCATTCATAACAGTTAGCCACATGTTACTCTTTTTATAAATATATATATAAAAATGAAACAATAATGTTATATATATAATATGTAACAGACGTAAATGTAAACACTATTTTAAATAAAAAGAAAATATTCATTTTTATATAAAATATATTCTGGCTGGCTAAATAAATAAATAAAATTGGGGAACTTGTAAAAGGTTTTAAATGATGATAAAAAAAATCTCTACAATATTAATAATATCATGATTGTTATTGCTTTGACTCCATCATGCCTCATATTCTATCTAGTATATGTTTAATGGCACACTACCCTTCAGTGCAGTTATTCATACTCGCTTACGTTTGATGTCGTCATTGATTCAAATTGCCAGTGAATCTATTGGAGATTCAGTGAAGGAGCGACGCCATCCGGACACGCTTTTGTTTGTGGATGAACACTCCAACCCGTTTCGGAAATGTGGACAGAAATTGGGAAATTATTATTTTTTCATTTCTTACTTTCGGAATTATACTTAGCAAAAGGTTTGTTGTATTCTGTTTTTTTCGGACGTGAAATAATCAGAAGCCTTTTTAATAGACTGTGTGAATGATGCCGTGTTGGTTATTTCGTGGATGCGCGAGACGAAACACTTGTTCTACGCGGGCAGCCTTGTTTCCACATTTCTATAAACACACACAACACTTGATTAAAAATCTAGTTTGCACGAGTAAAATATTAAAGGTTGATGATGCGGCAGCATGGATTTATTGTTTCATATTCGTACCCATCCTAACAGAAACATTTTTGTCTGAAATAGGAATGAAAGAAAGGTTTGAGTGTTTTTTTTTTTTCGTTTTCTTTGTCATGGCTTCATTGAAGTGCGCGTGTAGTACTAGATTTGCTGGTCAAAGCACATTGTGTTTGGATTTGCTCGGTTCAGTCATGTGTTATTGTTCAGTAGTAGATATTTTGCGCTCCTTTCATGTAGCTAATGGTTGCAGGTTATAATGGTTTGAGTGGAAGAGCAAATGCTCGACTGTAATTCTCTTCACTGTCGTTCTCAGGTACCGAAACTGGCACTGAGACGGAGTGCGAGGATGGACAGTTTCAGTGTAACAACATGAGATGTATTCCCACCATATGGAGATGCGATGATGATGATGACTGCTCTGACAACAGCGATGAGGAGAACTGCCGTGAGTAACGTTTACTCTCACTGACACACACACACACACATGTGTGTGGGAACAGCAGCCGTGCAGAACGAGATGTCAAAATCAGCCCTCGCACCAAAGCATTACTTCTTTGTTTGAGTGACTTTTGAGCTTTTCAAATAATAACTGATTAGCATCAAAAGCTATAATCAATTATTTCAAAAGCCTTTTTGAATTATTTTCATGTTAGTGAATGAGTAATAGGGGATTGTTGTTGTCACACTCTTCACTCCAGTTATTCTTCACAGAATATTTGTTAAATGTTCAATCATTCAAAACAACAATATTGTGAAATATCATCACAATTTAAAATGTAATTTATTCCTGTGATGGTAAAGCTGTAGTTTCAGCATCATTACTCCAGTCTTCAGTGTCACATGATCCTTCAGAAATCATTTAATGCTCAAGCAAACAAACAATTCTTATTATTATCAATGTTGGAAACAGACAGTTGTGCTGCTTAATATGGAAACTGATGTTTTTTTTTTGAAGGATCCTTTAATGAATAGAAAGTTCCAAAGAACAGCATTAATTTGAAATAGAAAACCTTTGTAACATTATAAATGTATTTACCTCTCACTTTAGATCAATTTAATGCTTCCTAACTGGAATAAAGTGTTAATTTCTTTAAAAAATGTATTACTGACCACAAACTTTTGAACAGTAGTGTATATTTAACAATACCACCATTATCCGTTTGCATGTTTACATACCAAGATCATTCACTGTATTTTATATGTATTTCATTAATGCAGAGTAACTGTAACTGAACAGTGAAGAGTACCTGAAACTTATTGCATCTGATTTGACTGTTTTTGGAGCATAATATGCAAACAAAAAACGGTGGAATTCATCCAGCAAGGCATTCCATGCATCATTCTTTCATTAGGTGGTTAATTGCAGTACAAGCACAGGCCATGCATATGTGTTCTGTTCAGTAACTTTTCCCCTATTTGTCAAGTGCGTCTTGCCTCGTTGCATCGGGTTATTTCCAGTGGCTCTAAGCTGAAAACAGGCCAAAAGGAGTGCTTGTTTTCCTAAGCAGTTTATGTGTCACCGCATCATGGGCCTGTTGAGTTTACTGTTTTGACTGATCCTTCAATTGCTCTCAACAAAGGGCAGTCATGCAGTCTGAAGTTATTGTATCCAAGCTATGTAACACGTCCATGTGGGATCCTATCTGTCAGAACAGGAAATATGTTTTTCTCTCCACTTTATTCAATAACCTGTATTACAAAATTAGGTTTTTTTTTTGTCTGAACAACAAAACAGCTGAATTTATGTATAAGATATTAATACAAATATGCATTTATAATGATATATTTATAGTTTTTATTTACATTTATTTTATAGAACAGAATGAAAATGAAGCTATTTAAAACCGAGCTTGGTTTTCTGGCGTTACAAGTACATAACTATATTCTTGATCCTGATCTACAGTATAATTCCACACCTTGTTTCAACAACTATTGGCACAGACAGAGCTGACCTCCGCCCTAACGGATTCCCCTGATGCTCCTCCGTCCAACCCCCCCCGTGTCCCTTTTATCCTCCCCCTACACCACCATCCCAACCCCCATGTCAAATCCAACAGATACATCTGCACACTGTCTATACATCCGCCTCTAATGCATGACAAGGCCATGCGTATGTGTAAAAACGTCTGCGTGTTCATGATTAAAATGATTCGTGACCTGCCCTCTCCATAGTGCAGATGCAGCCGTTTGATCATGTGTCATGAAGATGAGTCATATTTGTCAGGCTTATTGAGTGCTGAACTGTCTTTCTGCAGTATGAAATGATTAATAATCTGAAACTAAGAGCGTAAATTGCGTCAGAAGTGATAATTGTGATAAGCAGCACATTAAGTATAGAAGCGGCTTTGCTTTAGGACCCAGATTTTACTTTGAGGGTATCATTGAGTGTACTCAAAATGAACAAAAATGTCTTAGTCAAAAATCCAACATAGAAATACATTACTATTACTTTTGGCCCATTTTTGGGTCCCGAAGAACCATACGGTAGAGTACAGTAATAGTGATTTATGCAGCTTGCTCAGTTTTTTAGTTAGAATATTTGATAATTTGAATATATATAAGTATATATATAAATTCTTTCATGCAACTCTAGATGGCGCAGGCTTCTTTTCTTAATCTGCTTACAATCACATCATTCTCTATTGGGCACAGCTGATTGGTTCCTGCTGTATCAGTAGCCAATGACCTCGCTGCTCAACCTTCAAATACTTGGTTAGCATTGCCTTAGCAGTTGCAGCACGCTTTTAGAAACCCTCCATCTTCCCCAGCTCCACCTGTACAGATCTGCTACGGGTAATTCATGTATGCTAATTTGTACAGCAGCAGCATGTCTTACTCGCTCACAGCAGCAGCAATAACAACAGCAGCGTAGCAGATCTGTTCTGCCAAGACCAAACATATCAGTCACATTGTCATATCCATTACCATACCAAACACTCTGAGAGTTGCCATTACAGAAAAATGTATATACACTACTGTTAAAAGTTTGGGGTCAGTACGATTTTTTGTTTAAGGAAGTTAATACTTTTATTCAGAGGGATGCTTTAAACTGATCAAAAGTGACAGTAAAGACAAGATATTTTTATTTGAATTAAATGCTGTTCTTTTGAACTTGCAGCAGCCATTTTCAAATGTGTGTGATAATAAGAAATGTTTCTGCTGAAAATTCAGCCTTGCCATCACACTAATAACTTATTTGTTTTTAAATTTATTAAAATAGAAAACAGTTATTTTAAATTGTAAGAATATTTCACAATATTACAGTTTTTTTTTTTTTTTTTTTTGGAAAATCAAATAAATGTTGACTTGGCAAGCAGCGAGAATGACCCATAGTTGTTTATCATACAAAAACATTGTCATTTATTACTATTACTTTTGGCACGTTTTTGGTTCCTGAAGCACCATATGGTAGACTATAGTAATTTCTTCAGCAATCTACATCCTCGAGTGTTTTCTTATCAGATTTTTTGGCGATATGACTGGACACATGGACATTTGATCCTGATCCAAAAATCAACACCTTGTTCCACTAAAAACTGGCACAGAAACAAAGTGTTGAGCCCTGCCAATATTGTTGATCCAACATATTAACCTCTTTTTATTTAAAATTCCTACAAAATGTTCTCCCATATTTTCCTCATTATCATCCAAAGGGAAGGAAACCAGCCAGAATGATTCATAAAACAATACATTTTCACACCATACGTGTTGCGTATGCGGAAACGAGCATTCTCTTTTTGTCAAGAGCAAAGCGTTTTAATTTATTTTAAAGCTGTGCCAATTTTGGGAGGTGATTTTGTATATACAATAACGACAGAGGAGGCAGGAAGGCTTCCTTCGTCTCAGACTCAGTGCCAATCATAATGTGAATGTTCACATGCGTTTCTGTTTCATGCTGCGTCAGAAAAACATAATTTCCAAACGATCCTGAATGTAAAATTTAACGGCACTGATTGGCTGTTTCAAACAGGTTCACAGGAATGCTTACAAAGAAGTCCAGTGATACACTGTAACTAATAGCGAATGGCAGGTGATACTGAAATACAGCCCTTTTACTATCACTGTAGCACCGCAACCCCACACGGCCTCGGCACAGCTGTAGCCCCCATCTGTGGGCACCTCAAGAGGCTTTTCCCTCCATCTACCAAAAAAAAAAAAAAACTTTTGTATTTGGCTTGAGTGCGAGCCCTGTTTGTGTGCAGACTCCCACTCATAGAATGGTGGAAAGCCACTCAAAAAGAGCCACTCACAGCAAAACCAGAGGAGAGTAAGATGTAAGATTTAACATTTTGAAGAGAATGAAAGGAAATAAGAAAACAAGAATAATTCAAAACAGAGTGGACTGAGAAATAAGATAATTTTATTGAAAAGAAAGCGTCTCTGAAGGATTTCTGTAGAAGATTGTGAAGAGCAAAGATCCTAATAAATGATAAAAGGCTCATGGGATGTCTGGATTCTTGTTATAGAGTTAGGAGACGTTCCCCATAATTTTGACTATACCGAAAAGACAATTACCAAGTTCACATTTGACACTTTCTTATTGCATGTTCCTGGTTTATTGTGCACAACGTGGTGCACGTTATTTAAAAAAAGTCTACTATTAGGAGCCTTAAGATGTTTAATGTTGCGGCATTATTTTTTGGACAATTTATTTTACCCTCAAATTCCCATTAATGTAATGAAAGAGACACGGTCTCTCATTATCCTGCTTCAGTTGAAACGCGTTATGTTGACTTCAAACAGCCTGCTTTTTGCTGTACCTCTAAGATTCTCTATATATAAATGCTTCTGTTATTGGATAATATTTGCATATAGACAGAGTTCACATTGTTAATTATCAGAATTGGCCAAATGTGTAAATATGGGTGGTTTTATGTTATTTGCTAATGGCTGCGATAGAATCATGATGGTTTGTGAATTATCATTTTTTTTACATGGCAGTTCACCCAAAATTTAAAAATCTGTCTTTTATTCATCTTCATGTTGTTCCAAAATTGTATGACTTTATTCTTTGGAACACAAAAGAAGATATTTTGAGAAATGTCTCAGTGTTTTTTGTCTATGGAATATGCTATTAGGGGCTTTCACACCGGAGGAACCTTTTCATGGTTCCTGGAACTATTGGCGAAAGTACCCGGATGTCGGCGTGTTCGCACCGCAGGAACTAGGAACGATTTTAGTTCTAGGAACTCCTTTTGGAGGAACTTATTTAGCTCATACTTCAGAGTAGGGTCTGGAACTATCCGTGACGTGAGTGAACTCCGATTGGCCGAGCGCACGTGAAACACCAGCACCCGCCATTTTTTAAAAGTCTGTGTAAACACACAGATCATAGCCTATATATTTACTCCAGAAACTAACAGTTCTATCTAATAACGTATTAGACCGGACTGTTAGACAGATCGTAAACTAATGAACACGGAGAATGCGTGAACACAGGCTCTG